GTGTGTGTGTGTGTGTGTGTGTGTGTGTGTGTGTGTGTGTGTGTGTCTCCTTGCTTAATTGTGTATTGCTGTCTGCAACATACAGAAAGGAAGCTGTAAAGTGTTTCTTACAAAACCACGAAGAAAAGTAAAACAATGAAAATGATAAGACAGCAGGTACCCAGCTTCAAAGGAGTTAAGATAAATAACTGGTTGGCCATCAGCTTAAGGAAGAAGATACTTTGCTGGCTCCATCCAGGATAAGATGTTTCACTCTTCCCACAGCTAAGCTAAAGATCAAAGGAGCCCTACAAATCTTAAAAATACTCTCCAAAAGGACAAGGAGTTGATGAGTTGGAAGAACTTGCCTATGCCAAGTCAGATATGGGGAATAAGTCAGACCTTCCTGAGCTATAGGTAGATAGGGGAAACATAAGTAAGAGAATATGCATAGATATCTCTTTGCTATTTAAATTCTTTCTCTAAGCATTGTATAGCTTTCAGCTAAATAAATCATGCTTTGTTTTGAAGAAGCCATTCCTGAATAACTTAAAACATGTGCATGCTCCTAGAGGAAAACCCGTGCAGGTCCAACTTTAGGTAGATGTATGTGAAGTAGTCAGGAGCAGTCCCCAGAGGATGGTAACTCTGGTTCTGGTTTGAAATGGAACAAAATGTAGAAGTACCCCAGGACAGATAAAGGCCCAAGGCTGATGGCTATGGGAAAATACTGGTAAGAGCCTAAGAAAAGAGGAAACCACTCTAAAACTACCTTCTAGCTTTTGGGGTATTCTCATAGTTTCATAGTTGGTAGGGTGGGAAGGGACCTGAGCAGATCATCAAGTCCGACTCCCTGCCATGGCAGGAAAGAACACTGGGGTCAAACAACCCTGGCAAGGTGTCTATCTAGCCTCCTTTGAAGACCCCCAGCGTAGGAGTGAGGACCACTTCCCTTGGAAGTTGGTTCCAGATCCTAGCTGTCCTGACTGTGAAGTAGCGCCTCCTGATATCTAGCCTGAATCTACTCTCAGTCAACTTATGGCCGTTATTCCTCGTTACTCCCAGTAGTGCTCGGGGGAACAGGGACTCTCCCATTGCCTGCTGGTCTCCCTTGGCCAGTTTACAGACAGCCACCAGATCCCCTCTCAGCCTTCTCTTGTGGAGGCTGAACAGGTTCAGGTCCCGTAGCCTCTCCTCATAGGGCCTGCTCTGCTGCCCACTGATCATGCAAGTGGCCCTCCTCTGGACCCTCTCTATGCTGTCCACATCCCTCCTGAAGTGTGGCACCCAGAACTGGATGCAGTACTCCAACTGCAGCCTGACCAATGTCGCATAGAGGGGGAGGATCACCTCCTTGGACCTGCTCATGATGCATCTGTGGATGCATGACAAGGTGCCTTCTTGACTACATCCCCACATTGGTGGCCCATGTTCATCTTAGAGTCTATAATACTCCAAGATCCTTTTCTGCCTCTGTGATGATGAGAGGGGAGTTCCCCAGCCTGTAGGTATGCTTCTGGTTCTTTCTTCCTAGGTGCAGGACCCTGCACTTGTCAGTCTTGAAACCCATCCTGTTCTCATCCTTTGAGTTAACTTAATTGTGTTGCAGAACCAGGAGGCATTTGAGCTTGCGTTTTCCTTCATATGCCCAAACTAAATAAACTCTCAGCTTCTCAAGAGAAGAACCCAGAATTATTAGATTTATCTGAATGGAAAACAATTCAGGCTTTCCTTGCCTCCATGCTGGGTTTTCATTATCACATCTTCCCTTCAGAGCTGTATTCCACCTCCTGTACGTCAACTGCAATTTTATGGCACTATCCCTGGATCTGACAAGTCAATCATTACTGACTTCTAAGATTAAAATATTGGTTTGTAAATTTTTTTGGGGGGAGGGGGGTGGTGGAAATGAGAGACAAGTCTACCTGCAACCCCATCGATTCAAAAATAAAGCATTTCACCACTGCGAAACTATTAGTTAAACATCAGTTCCATCCAGCATGCAATGATGTAAATATTAACACCGCAGTCCTGATAGATGAGACTAATTACATGAACAAGGCAAGTGAGCTATTGATGTTGGAAAAACAATACATCAGCCAAAAAATTCAGGGGAACTGCTGATGGTCGTCTGTGGTGTGCTCTAAATTCATGCGTCCTTTCTGAATAAAGGAAGTTCAAATAATATTTTCCAAAAGAGACATTCTTGACAATTTATAGGCCTTTATATAAGGTTTGGGTTTCCCCTTTCAAAGTCATGTAAATAGACTTGTCCTGGTGCGTTAATACACTAATTTGGGATTTTTCCCACTTCTGTTTTACACCGTCCCCTTTTAAAATTGCTTAAGGTATGTAACTGGTGTTAAACTACAAGTTTCCAATGAAATCAAAGACAGTAAGTCTGCAGGACTATTTAAGCCAATCTTAATTAATAAGTCTACCTTGAGTTCCCAGACTAAGACACTGACTGAAATTACTGTGGTGGAGTGGACCCAGACAATTTTGCTTGGCATAGAAAGAGAACAAATTTATCAGCTGATTCAAAGCACATACATGAACAACTGCTCAGAGGAACTCATTGGCCAAATGGATATGATACAGCATTCAGTGGTGAACAGCAGGAAAACAGAAGGGGATTTTAAAAAGAATGGGAGAGTAGACAAAGAAATTGTATTTCTCCCGTTTCTAGTTACAATTGAATAACTGTGGCTTGTAACAAGTATTGTTTGTTACAGCATTCCACCAGAAGAGGGAGAAAGGGGGAAAAAAAACTGAATACATTGAGCCAAACCACATGTCTTAATTTTTTCCTTGAATGTGCCAGAGTAGAAAAGCCAACAGACACATGAAAACAACACAAAAAAGATTGAAAAAAGCATTCACATTAGGAAAGGGTGAAATTATCAAATGAAGTTACTCTGTTAAAATATGCCAAGTATGTACCCTTTCGGTAGAAGCTTCCCAGAAACTAGAAACCTTTTGCGTCAAGATTAATATATTGTCATAGCCTATATGATGAACTTTGTAATCACTGCAAGTCAAGGCTGGATGAAAGGCCTTCCAGGGACAGGAAAGGGACAGTATTTTTTTCCAAGCACATGATAACAGTGAAATATAGCAGACCTCCCATTCCTGGATAAAAGCATCAAATAATAATAATCCCTTACATTTAAGAAATGTCCATCACACTGAAAGATCACCAAAATAATCTGCAAATGGTAATGTACAGCAGTGAAAGTCTGGCCCCATTTACACTGAGTTCACGGGGGCTAGGATTTACCAGCTCCCAACTGTTGCTTCACTTATTAATGAAATGTAGTTACAGAAGACCAAGAGCCAGCAACAAAGAGAGATCCACCCTAGGTAGGGTACTAGAAAGTGCTGGAAGTCACTTACAAGGTACACTGGCAGAGAGGTGTGGGGAAATGTGGCTATAGCTGTGCCAAAAACTGATTTTTCAGATAAGCTGCTCAACCAATATTGATTTAGCTTTCTGTTAAAAAAAAGACTAACAACTACTGATAAACTAGGATAGTATTTGCATAAATTCTTCTGAATAGGGACACACTTGTAAACACATGGTCAAAAGCCTAGCCATTTATAAGCTATTAATAATAATGTCATACTCAAAAAGATTTTGGTTTGGAAAAATGGAGTTTCAGGGAGAATCTGAATTAGATTAAAGCAAACATCAACCTCAGAATAGGAGGCAGAACCTATTATTGGCAAAGGTATTCTGAAAGCCATTACACCTCTGGCTAAGGGCAACACAAAATATACTGCTACACATAAGCATGCCATCACAGTGAATGATATTATCATGGTGAGCAAAACCACAGAGGCATTAGGCAGCAGCACTCTTTTCTCAAAGGAAGTCAGACTCACTCAGAGTTGGCCAAACCCCCAGCCTGACCACAAATTCCAGCCGCCTTTCTCCTTGAAGGCATTCCAGACCAGTGGGATCTGGAGACCTCTCTTCAAAACTCATTTACTTACTGTTGCATCTTCAGAATTCCCATTTGGCACTTCCACCACCCTGAGTGTTGTGTCGACCCTCACCTTCGCCCTGGTCACAAACTGGATGACCGATGAACTGTCCTGAGGATTTAAAAAAAATAGAGGCCGTCAAAACAGCCCTTTCCAAGCTGGAGGCAAGGATTACATTGGTAATTATTACCTGAAGCAGAACGCGTCTTTGGACTAGTGACCTGCTATACAGAGTCCATTATCTCAGATTTAAATTAAACCCATTTCACAAAATGAAATATGTTGTGGGCTCTCTAAAAAAACAGCATCCTTGGTTTGGTCTGTTTTAAAACTCCCTCAAACTTACAGTGCAAGCACAAAAATACAGAGAGTGCTGCCAATCCACACAAACAAGTTAAATCTTAACTGCTTCAAACCACTGCTTGGTTCCCAGATGCTTAGAAAGATGTATGGAAGCTGGGATGGACTCAAGCATGGTATATGATAAAAATTGTTTAATTACTTAAAATAAAACTAGCCAGAGCACATGGCAAAAGGTTGAAATGTTAGATTTATATTTCCCATAGTAACATATACTTTGCCCTGTATTTTATACAATAGATTTAAACATATTTTCCAACCAGCTGCTCTTTTTACACTTTTACAGTGTAGATTTGTAGGATTCTTATTATTTAGGGCTAGAATTCAGATCTTAGCATTTAGTATGTGTAACACCTTTCCCCCATGGAACAAGATAGGGTGGTTCTCATGTACCTTTCAGAGAAGAGATGCATGCATCCCAACATAGCATTCCCACTGCAGACCCTGCCCACATCCCACCCCTCTTCTGGAAAGTTGTGATCCCACACTCTCCCTAGCACAAGCAATAAAGGGTACCCTAGCACATCACCATGAAATGCGGTGAACAAAACTGACACTTGCATTGCATGAATAAGCTGGTAATTAAGGCCACAGATGTACCCATTTACAGGTACAGTTAAAAATTCTGCATACATGATACTAGGGGAAAAGTGGACACAGGTTTGCTACAGGGTCTGGGCACAGGGCTGAATTCCATAAATGCACAGTTAGTGCATGCATCCTCTGACTTAACTTGCTTATGTGAAGGTCTCTTATATGGGCATAACTGAAACATCTGAAATAGGACTAGTGTACATTCTCAATTTCCAAATATGGACAAGTAACAACATGCAAGGTCCTTCAGCTGAAAAGAGCCAAACTGATTTAATCAACGTTTGCAGAGTCTGTAGGCAAAGATCTCTCCGTTTCTTACTTAAGAAACTTTACAGACAGATTTAAAAGATTTATTTTATTATCATTCTCCCCATTTATCTTATAAGATCACAACCTTACAGAATCTCGCTGTAGCTATACTGCTGGAGTTCCTCCCACTCAAAATAAGCTTATCAAGAAAATAAGGGGAAATAAAATAAATCTTTCTAAGTATACAAATTTGTTTCATTCATCAGCATAAGAGAGCACTGTACTTAGGCTGCTATCATTTGTTTCTTCCCACACATGTCACGCACATTCTTATCATGGTTATGGTATTTCTTCTTTCTATGACACACAGTTGAAATAAAAGATTCAAAATACTTCTCAGACCTCTTTCTCTATCTCAGTCACATGCAGATAAGGATAAATGCAGGGATCACTGTCTGTTCATGCTTTCTAATAAGCTCTCTGCATGTAGGGTGAGTTTTCTTAGTTATTTCCAACTACATCAATCTCTAAATTTAATTTATTTCTATTTTTAAGATACTTGGGAAAAATCAGCAAGCCCAGGATTAACATTGCTCATAAATGTGTCCTTTTTAATAATTGTTTATAACATATGCTCCGTTCAGATTGGACAGTGCATGGTGATGAGCATTTGCTAGGAAAGGCTGAGCACCCTCATGTCCTACTAAATGTAACAAGCAATTGCAGATTCTCAACATCCCATAGGAGTAACATCCTTTAGTCCCTCCTTCTGGATTTTTTACACTCTAATTACAGTATTACAGGAAGTAACATATCATTCTCAAGAGTTTTCAAGTGTACCACAGTACCCAAAATCAACTAGAGAATGGCTGGACAATGGCTGGCCATGAGAATGATGGGGTCAGTTTTATAAAAAATAACCAAAGGCATAACAGGCTAGCTCCATGCTCTCCAAGGTGCTGCCCAGGACTGCTGTCCTGGTCACCCCTCTTCCCCTCCAGTTATGTTACTGCAATGACATAGGTGAGGAAAAAAAAAAAAAGATGAAGCCTTAAATAATAGGTTGTGGATAGGGCTGTGTGAAAGGGCTATGTTTTGTTTCCGTTTTGGATTCGGCCGCTTGGGAGGGATAGTGATTTGTTTCCGTGTTTCGGACCACTGTTCCATTTCAATTTGGCCGAATCCATTTCGGAGTTTTGATGCTGTTTTGGCGCTGATTCAGAGCCTCGGATCAGCTGGGGTGAGGCAGGCACAACCGTGAGGTTGCAGGTCCTCCCGCAGCTCCCCCGGCTCTGCCTGCCTCTCCTCAAGTGGGGAGAGCCAGGGGAGAAGCCCCCATGGCTGCCCTGCCTGGCCCCATCACCCAGCCAGCCCCATCCACCTGGCACAAAAAAGCCCTGCACTCACTGGCTATAGCAGCGGTGATCAGGCCTCTGAGGGCTCATGGCAGAGCCCCCCCCCGTGCAGCAGGGGGCAGCGGGGATCATCCCCCCCCACTTGGCACCAGCACAGCAACTGTCGCATTGCATGGGTGTGGCATGGCTGGGAGCTATGGTGGTTCCACCTGTCAGCCGGAGCCCAGCACTGCTCAGCCCCAGCTCCCAGACAGTGCACAGTGCCCTGCCAAGCCACACTGCATCTGCGCCATGAGGCAGCTGCCACATGGGTGCCAGGCAGGGGGAGTGATCCCCGCTGTCTTCCACTGCCCCACACTGCATGGCGGGACTCTGCCATGAGTCCTCAGAGGCCCTGATTGCCACTGCTTGAGCTGGTGAGTGTAGGGCTTTTTTGTTTTTTTTGTTTTTGAAGTGCCAGAAGGCTGGGGCCAGGCTGGGGATGGGGCCGGGCAGGGCAGCCATGCAGGTCTTCTCCTGCAGCTCTTCCAGCTATGTCACCTTCTGCCCTGGCGGGGGAAGCCACGGGAGAAGTCCGTATAGCTGCCCTGCCCGGCCCCATCCCTCACCCAGTCCCAGCCTCTCAGCACTTTAAAAGGAGGGCTGCAGAGCTGTGCTGGACTCTTCCTGGGGGGAACAAACACCCAGATATGCACACGGGATGACAGCAGGCTGCTGTCCCTCCTCCAGAGTGCTGGGATTGGAAGGGACCTCAGCATTGGTGATACGTATGGGGTGCACGCACATGGGTGCACATGCACCCACTGAGATTGGCGGTGCACCCCCTGAGAAAAGCACTGCTGATGCTGCCAGAGGTGCCTGTGGGCAGTTGCTGCTCACCCCCCTCCCCTCCCCTTGCCACTAGTAGCATCTGCAGGTGGTTGCTGATGCTGCTGGCTGCTGCCAACACTATCGGCAGTGTCTGCGGGTGGTTCTGGGAGCTTCCTTGAATCCTGTTCATTCCCCACTCTTTTGTCCAATTTGCATACACACAGAGACAGACATATATAAGCCATTCTTCTGAAATGACAGTGGAGAACTTTAACATTCTTCTTCTCTCATTTATCCCAGCTCAGACTGAATGGCTCCTCATGTGCTTCTGTAGTGATTGAATAAGGATTTTGAGTATAGGAATGTATGCCTAGTAAAGCCATCTCTCAGAGCGATAAAGACGAGAACTGAATAGCCAATGCTGATATTTTTCCCTTGGGAAATTTAGGGGAAAAAACACTTTTCTAAATGCCTTGCTACTAGCTCATTTTTGTATTTCCTACAAGAAAAGCAAAACCTTTTTTTTCTGTTTACAAAAGCCATTTCCATTATTTTCAGGGTGGTTTCAATAACAATTCTTAGATTTCAAAACCAAAAATCTGAAAAATAATATAAATATAATAATAATATATTTTTAAAATATCATTCATATTATGACTTCTGGCTTTCAATAGAAAAGCAATTTTTCATCAGTAAACTTTTGTCTGAGCACATTTTACCCAGCAGTAAACACCAGTAGACCAATTCAGGATACACTGTGAACTACTAGGGAAAAATCCAATCCTGCTCGCATATTCACATTTATTGGCATATTTAAGGCAGCATGTAGAATATGTACCAGGATGTGAGGCGGAAGCCCTTACCTTCTTTAATATCTCAGTATTCAGCAGCATGTAAATATCTATATTGCGGGATTCTGCTTTAGCTAGTGAGCTTAAATTACAGCGCACAATTAAGCAGGACCGTCCTGGTCTTTCACAATCCTATAGGAAGTAAGTAAAAAACTGTAAGATTCAGTAGGCAAGGAGAAATCTTCCATTTAAAACTACGTCCCAATACAATCCATTCTGAATGACAGCATGAAAATAATCATGCAAAGAATCATAACACTTTCGTTGTGTAAAAATCTGTTTTCAGAATTTGCACAATTATACAACTTTCAGAACTTAACAAAACAAGCCAGGTGAAATTCATCCCTGCACAGAGAATCAGGCTGTGCAAGGCTTATGCACTGTTTATAGCTCACTTCATCTGGACCCAAAGGTTGCATACAATCTGATACTGGTTAATTCCCCAGGGCTGAGTCTGAACCCCAGTGTATAAACCCTGTTTTCTATTAGCCTTTGGTTAAAATACTCCCTATTGGATTTCATCAAACTGCATTTAGAAACTGAATATTTAATAATACACAGTGGTTGTGCATTAAAAGACTAATTAAGAATTTATCTTATAAACTAGGAGACCATCAGTCGGAAAATAGAGAAAAGAAACATCTGCATGTGTTCATTAATCATGCAATGACTATGAACCATTTACATAATACAGCCATACAAAGGCAAGTTCTGTCCTAGGCAAGTACTTCCTGCAGAGATAAAGAAGTATTAATGCCATTGCACAAGACACTGGAAGGGCTCCTCTGGGATACAGTGTACAATTCTGGTCACCCATGATCAAGAAAGATGAACTGTAGGCTACAAATGAGAATTTAAAAGTGTGTGGTTTCTTCAGCCTAGCAATATGAAGGCTAAGAAGTCCAGAGAAGAGCCACACGCATGATCAGAGGTCAGGAAAGCAGACCTTATGATGAGAGGCTGAGAGCCATGGGGCTCTTCAGCCTGGAAAAGTGCAGGCTCAGAGGTGATCTGATGGCCACCTATAAGTTTATCGGGGTGCTCATCAGGATCTGGGGGGACGTCTGCTCACCAGAGCGCCCCAAGGGATGACAAGATCGAACGGTCACAAACTTCGCCGCAACCGATTCAGGCTGGACATAAGAAAGAACTTCTTCACTGTCCGAGTCCCCAAGGTTTGGAATAGACTGCCACCGGAGGTGGTTCAAGCATCCACTTTGAACGCCTTCAACACGCATTTGGATGCTTATCTTGCTGGGATCCTATGATCCCTGCTGACTTCCTGCCCCTAGGGCAGGGGGCTGGACTTGATGATCCTGCAGGGTCCCTTCCAGCCCAAATGTCTATGAAATCTATGAAATATGTTTCTCTGTACCTTAGAGTAGGTCCTCCTCATTGGATCTCTCAAGTGATTTTTTTTTAAGAACCACCTCCTGTCCTTGCAGTAGCAGGCCACGGACAGTGCCCTCATGTGCTCCAATATTACATGGGGCAGGCGGGGGTGTTCTCAGCATTTTTTGGCCAATGTGCCTGATAGTTGTGCAATAGGCCTGTCTATGTAATCTTAAGACTAGGTTATAAAACACTCATATAGGATAGTTTGGACAGAGATGATTCTGCCTTAAACAGGGGGTTGGACTAGACGACCTCCTGAAGTCCCTTCCAGTCCCACATTTCTTTGATTCTATAACTAGTTCTTCTCTCTCCTACTAGAGAAGGAAAAGAACCATTTAATCAAAACGCCAATGTCAACACAAAAAATAAAAATAGATATTAAGTGGCCATGAATAAATCTGGGCTAAAAACTAGAAGAAAGTTTCTAACTGTCAGAGAAATGAGGTTTGGGAACAGACTTCCATAATAGTGGGTGCAAAAAAACCAACTGGTTTTGAGATGGATTTTGATCAGTTTATGAAAGGGATCATAGGACAAGGTTGCCTATGATAATAAGGGACTGTGTTTGATAAGTTGGGTGGTCCCCTCCAATTCTGTTTCTAAGGCTCTAGCAGTGCCATAATAAAATGCCAAATTTACTTCAGTTACTCTGTAAAGAAAAACCTAGTGGAGTTTTTCACATTTCCCCTTGAGAAAACATTTATAATATACAAACCTTTTGATTTTAAAATTTTAGACGGGTAGAATTTCTTACCAGAACTTTTCTGCCAGACTTCGTAAAAAAAGCAAATATTGTATGAAAAATGTTGTCATTCTCCTGAGGGATGATGCATGGGTTAGGGTTTTTCTGAAAAGAGCAGTTTCCTTTGTCCTGAGCAACCTGAAAGCACAATTAAGATTGTGAGGAGTGTACAGTTACTATTTACAACACTGACTCTCAACTACATTGATGCAGCACCCTAGAGCAGTGGTTCTCAACCTTTTTTTGTACCAGGACCCATTTGTAAACACTGATGGCCAGTCCTGACCCAGCAAATAGGTTAAGTAGAATACAAACCCCTGGCCCTGCCGGTGCCCCTCACTCCTGACCCAATGCCCCAGACCCCCGAGTGAATGAGGCAAGGGGTGGGTATGTGAGGTGGCAGGGGTGTGTGGAGGGCATGGGGGCCCCCAAGAAGTCTCTTGCAGACTGGAACTCTGCCAGCCTGCAAGGGAAAAACCACGGTTTCCCACATTTTTCTTCCTTAAAGGAGAATCCATTTTTAAAGTTTGTTCACAACCCTTTCATAAATTCTTGTGACCCACGGGTTGATAAACACTGCAAGAGTACTGCAAGATGCTTTCATGGGTAATAAGGGGTGTAACAAATTATTAGCACTGTTATATATGAAAATACCTACACGATTCACAATATAACCCAGGGACTTCAAATAGGAATCTATAGTGTCAAAAGCATTCTTAACTGTTGTGGTCTTTCTGGGCATTTTTATACATGCATATGCTGCAGCGCTGGGTGCTTTGAAAAGCACCTGGCACTGCAATGCATACAGTTGTATAAGCAGTGAAATATGCATCAGCATGCAGAAAATGGCAGCAGTTCAAAAGTGCACCGCTGCCATTTTCTCCACGCTAACGCACATTTCGCCACTTATACAACCGCAAGCGGCACAGCGCGGTATGTGTCAGCTCGCATACAGAGAAGACTTGATTAATCGAGTCTGCTCTGACGCACCTAATCTCCAGTGCTTCACAGCATGAAAAAGTAGGTATATAAATGCCCTATGAGTTCTTTGCAACAGAAGAATTGCCCTATTAGTTTTATGTAGTGGAAGCTAAGAGCTTCCCCTATCGAGGGGTGCCCTGAGTGTAAAAAGACTGAGAACCGCTGATTTATAGTGTTGTTGTTGTTGTGTGTCACAACCCTGTTACAGCAGTTACTCTTTGGTGTTTCAGTCAACTTATGTGTAGGAGTGAAAATCAGTATGGCCTTGCAAATCTTTGTAATTGTATCCCAGCCAGTCACAAAATATATTTCACTTTTATCATAAGTAATAATAAAGAAGATAATGCTAACTTACAGCATCAATTCCATATTTACAGGCATGGGGGAACAGGGGGGAAACTTCAAGGGAGAACAGGGTGTGGAGGCAGGCACAGGGCCAAGGAGTGAAAGGACAGGCTGCAGGGGGAGCAGAGGGGGGGTCGAGAGGGAGGGCGG